CCCCCCCCCCCCCCCCCCCCCCCCCCCCCCCCCCCCCCCCCCCCCGGACACCGAAGTGTGGGAAGCATTAAGGTGAGGCGTCAGGAGCTGGGAAAAATCAGGCTCTGGAGGGCGGCACGGAGGGGAATTTGCTATTCCCGCCTCCTGTCCTTGCTCCACATCGTCCGTCGGACGACAGAGGAGGGTTTGAGTCGCCGTTGCCGATGCTCGCTCTCCTCCTGGCAATAAAACGGGGCCACGCTGTGACCTGGCAGCTATGTGGGTTCCCTGCCGTTTCTCAGAGCCTTTCTCAGAAGCTTGGTCCAAGGAGTCCACTTGGAAAACTCAGAGGATGAAAAAGCCCTCCGTAAGCCTAAACTCTCTTCTCTGAGCTGGGGCATGTCCTGCGTGGTAGAGACATTTGTTTCCTCTCGGAGGGCATTTGTTCAACACATCCAGGTTTTGTCTGTTCAGGCTCACCAGGCAGACCGGGCACAGCAGCAGATGCTGCATCTGGGCTCACATGACATCAATAACTGCTCCAGCTGGTCTTCAGCTTCCCACCGATACAGACAGTGATGATAGATGAAGCAGAGAGGACACGGTTTGATTTTTAGGTGCTGGAGTGAACTTGTGGATTAAAAAAAATAAAATCATTTGGAGACTGAAGAAACGTGACATGAAGATTTTCCAAGGAGAATGAAGGGTGAGAGAGGACAGCCCAGGCCAAAAGCTGATGCAAGCTGTCCCATGGGGCATTGATGGAAGCAAGAACTTTGCTTTCAGCCTCCACTACTACATCAGTCAGGGCCTGAAGGAGTCTCCCTTCCATTTCCGGTGTGAAAAATCCCTCTTTCAAGCTAGTTAGTGGGAAGAGATCACCAAATGGATACGTGATCTGATCCTGGGTGTCAAAATGGTTCCTGCTGTCATGCTGGGGATGGGAATGATGCCATCACTGGCATTTTTTTTTCTTTATGGTTCTGTTCTTCTGGCTCTCTCCCAGCTTGGGGCTTAAAATGCTATATTCCTCCTCGGGATCAATACATAAAAAGAGAACACGTACGTAGGAAAGAGTGAAGAGAGTTGGCAGCATTTGGTGAAAAAGGAAAAAAATCTCAGCAAATTGAGCAGCAGGAGCTCCATTGGAGTTTCAAATGGGAATTTGCAGCTATGCCATCCATGCACTGGATGTCACATGTCTGTCACAGGACCAAGAACTGTGGTTGGGTGTGCAGACAACAGCATCGCTCCCAAACAGGACGTGTTCTGAAAGGTGTGCAATTCCTGGTGTAAATTTTGGGGGACACGCAGCTGCAGGAACAGAAGCAATTGCTCCCCTTCACTACAGAAGTGTGGCTACTTCTGGACACAAACAAGCTGGCTCCTTGACAACCGTTGTCACAATAGTTCAGCATGGGGGAAAAGGAATCAGGAAGGCGAAGAAGGTGATAAACACTGGGATTGGAATGCCAATAACATTTCACACTGTGACTTCCTAGTAGCTGGGAAATAGGTGGGTTTACGGCTCTCCAAAGGGCATGGCTGAGTTCAGGGCAGAGCCTGCACATGCACAAGCTATGGCTCATCAGAAAACCTCATGGGGAGATGCAGCCAGCCAGAACAGTGCTCAGTTGTCTCTGTACTGCAGCTCCTCAGGAACCCACTGGCCTCCCTAGCAGGACTTAAAGGAGGAGCACAGTTTATTTGTTGTTAATGTCTTTAGGCACTTTTGCTTGGAGCTGCAGGGTTTCAATGACTTCTCTCCATGCTGTATCAGGAATGTTTGTACAATAGTAAATAATGCTAACTGCTCATCTGTGGCCAAGCTCAGCTGCTGCAATTGCAACAGATGCCTGCAACTAGCCCATGTTCTCACACCTCTTCTTGGAAGCTGTGAGGTAGTTCAGGGTCTCTTTACTTCCCTCCCTCGTGAAGATCTGGTGTCCCTCCAGCAGGAGGGAAGAGTCCACACTGAAGTACTGGACCCCGGGAACATGTTTTGGAGGGGCTGGCCTCTGCCATGGGCTAGGGATGCTGCAGTCCCTGGTGCCCCCCCATCACAGTTGTGTTGGTGAGAGCTCACCAAGGAGGTGGCTCTTGGGCAGATGAGACCTGCCATACCTCAGTGCACTCTGATAGGCTCTCTGCAGGGCCATCTG